AACAAAGAGATTTTCAAATTCCTTTCGCGTTGTTTGCTATTTTAATGCGATTTACCACACAGCCTTCGGTTGACAATTCGCAATGGCTGTTATTTCGCTATTTTTTCACAGTTTTTGTTACTTAAAAACCGCACAAAAAGCAACAATATTCATCTTAGNCAATTCGCAATGGCTGTTATTTCGCTATTTTTTCACAGTTTTTGTTACTTTGAAAACTGCACAAAAAGCAACAGTATTCATCTTAACATTCTTATTGCGGCACTTGGCCTCGAAATTTATTTAGTATTTGTCGTTCATCATTGAGTTGACGTGACAATGTCATGGAGCAAAAGCCAGAAAATGTCTTATTTTCTTTGCAAATGTACACAAATCTCTTAAATAATATCTGTGACATTTTGGTAAAGCTGCTCAAGTGACTTTAGATGTTTTGGCTTTTGATTACAAACGAATAAGTTTCCATTCAAAAATTTTAAACTAAACCTATGTCTGGTTAAACGCTAAAATATTATTTGGGAAGCCAATAAAGTATTACTTGTAAGAGATAATGACCTAACTCGAGGTAAGTGGGTTTATCAAAATGCCGCAGGAAATCTCCTATAGTCTTTTGGCTATAGTAAATTCCAAGATTAGTATTCATGTGTGGTAAATAGCAGAGCGTTTGCTTCAACTCAACATAATTTATACACCCGTACGCACTTTTTACAGCAAAATCGAATCACCTTCGCAAAAAATACCCATACACTTGTGGTCAGCTGATTAAGTTAAGTGACATTTTGACCAGTTTTGATTATTTTGTTTTTATTTATTTAATGTTTATACTTTTTTTTTATAAAAGTCTAGCACATTAGATAAGCAGCACCACATAAAGCAACATTTCAAAATTCTTACAAAAATTACAAAAATTCAACAAACTTCAACAATTACACACAAAAATTTAAAACTTTTTTTCGAAATTTTTAAACAAATTTTAGGTATGCACTTTCATAGCCCATTAACTTTTAGTAGGTTAAAGTGCAAACTGCAAGAAGAAGAGTATCGCGTTGATTTTTAATATATGTATATATTTTTTTTTTTGCTGACGGTACTAGGCATTCTCCTCCATACGAAAGTCATTGTGGAGCATACTTTGTACACATGGGAGAAAATGCTCAACAGCGTCAGCCAAGCAAATTATTAAAAATCAATCCGACTTCCTAGCCTCTGAGGACTTAAGTTGAATTTGGTTTTTTTTTTAATGTGGCAACCCCCTAAAAATAGTTCAGAAATAAAAGCCTTTCAACCCCGTTTCGATTGATACCAGTGATCTGAAAATACATTTTACTTATTAAATAATTTTAATTTGATTTTTTTAACGGGTGGCAACATTCTTTAAAAGCCTCAAAATATTTCTTAGTTATTTGTTAACACTTGTTGATAGGCATATTTTGATATTTGATTGCCTATACCTTAACTAAATTAGACTTTTTTAAACAGATGGCAACCCTCTTCGAAATATTTACTATTAACTGAAATAGATTTTTTAAGCATGTTGCAACCCTCCTACAGTTAAGTTGAGAAACAAAGCTTTTCCAAACCATTTCGATTGATACTCACTTTGTAATAATCGGTTGCACTTTTGTGATAATTTGAACTTAGTTTTTAAAAGGTGGCAACTCGTATCCAAACATGCCTACAAGGTAAAGAAAAATGCCTCGTGAAAATATGTAAGTACCCTTCAGGTAATGGCATTACTTTCCAAAAAGAGAGATTATTAACTTAACTATGCATAAGCTACACCCTTTAATACATATAACTAAAAGTGTGTACACTGTACGATCATACATCAACTTCGCAAAAAAAAAATATTAAACAACACATTCAATATTCTGTGGGCGATTAAGGAGAGAAACGTAATAAGCTTAAGCTTACCATGAAAACAACAAGCTGCATAGTAGAGCACTCATTTTCGACTTCTTAGCCATTCCACGCACATTAACATGGCTTAACGACTTACTTACTTAACAAACACTTTATTTGCGCTCGACGCTCTCAACGCCAGTGCATGCAATGAACAAAAAAAAGCCAAAAAAAACCAACAGCTTAGCCCACAAAATTAAGTTGATATAAAACCAAATATCGCAACGGCGCCAGCGCCAATCAGTTGTTGACGAATTAAACGCTCGTACGTTGCCATTGTACATATTGTATTTACCGCAAGTAACGGTAAAAAAATTTAAACGAGAAAAAACGCACAATACAAAGGATCCATTAGCAATGGCTCGTCTCGATTGTTCGCACACAGTCACAAAAGTGGTAACGCTCGGTTTATTTGTCGCCTGCCTGTTGCACGCTTCAACGGCGCAATTGTCCTACCACACGGTTTCCAATTCGAATTCTTTCACCCTAAAGACTCCATCCCTGCAACAGAGTTTCTCGCGCGTGTTTGGCGGGCAGCAGCAGCAGCAGCAGCAACAGCGTCAACAGGCATCGCCTACAGCACAACAGCTACAACAATTCGCACAACCACTTTCACAGCCACAATTCCAGCCGACACAGCAGCCACAGCAACAACAATACGCGCAACCACAACAATACCCAACAGTTCAGGTGAGTGTTTGGTGGTGGCAATGTGTGCATTAGAGTAGAACTTATTTGAAGTGGTTTTCTTAATCGGGATTATGGTCGTATGGGTGAATTTTTTGTGAACAAAAATTTTATATTTTTTTTAATGACTTAAAAATCGGGTGGGAAATCTGCAAAAAAATTTCTGAATTAATCCATGATTTAATCCACAACGCTATGAGATGAAAAGCCGGATAGTAAGAGCATTTATTGTTAAAGGTAGATACGGAGATAGGAGGCTGGAGTGCCAGTCGCTTCAACCACAAGCTGGGCACATTTTTTTTTAGCAGTTTTCTTCATCGGAGAAAAATTACAATTCATCGAAAGTACCTGAAGGGACTGACGTGTTAAATCATATTCACAAAATCTAGCTTAAGTCATTGTCCTATTTAGGTACATTCCTACATACATTTATAGTACAATCTTCGGAAATTACCGTTTTCATTTCTGAATGTCATTTAGCTCCGACTGCAGTAAATATATCCTTCCAAGGCAGAGGATACACAAATCGTATTCGTCTCCTATACAATCTCTACTAGTAGGCCTAAATTCAAAAATTCAAATTTCGGTTAGTAAAACAAAGATGGAAAAATACTTGGCACGTAGACATTCCTGAACGATCTTGCTATCAATTTCACAGATATCATGCTAACGCAATTATCCTTTGAGAAGCCCTACAAGATCAGAATTCCTGAAAGGGACTGCTGTGTAGCGATAATATCTATGAAAGAAAGGCGTCCCAAGTACGATATACCGATGGATCCAAGATGGACAACGGGGAGGCGTAGTTTGACCAAGATTCAAGTGGCCTATACGCAACTATATTCCTGTGTACGTAGAAGAAAAGACCGGGCCAGAATAAATATTATGTCTAATATTCAGACAGCACTAAAGGCCTTAGACTCATTTAGAACGATATCAAGGCTTCTGGACAGTTGTACAACTCTTCTTAACAGCCAAAGAGTCAATAAGTGACGATGTTATGGGTCGCTAGGCATGAAGGGTTTGAAGGTGGAGCACAAATTCGCATGCACGGTAACGAGCCTTTCTGTGGCACATCCGAAGTATACTCTGTAGAACTACTTAAGGCCAAATTCACCGTGCGATTCTGAGTTAACTGCGCACTGTGAAATTGGTCCTTAGGAGCTAAGAAGAATCTCACATTGTTGCCCACCGGCTGAAGTCGAAAGGATGGAGACAATCAAAGAAATTCATAACTCCTTCCAGATGGAACTCGGAAATACTCCTTGAACTTAGCCGGGAGGATATTAAATTGGACTCTTACAGGCTACCTGACAGAAAACTGCGAGTTAAATTCCATTTGAATAAAGTGGGGCTTTCTGTAGGGATCGACTGCAGAGTTTGTGGACTGGTGGAGGAAACCTCAGAGTATATTCTTTGTGACTGCCCAAGTATCACAGACTGATGCACCTTGGGGAACGATTATACTCCCGATTCAAATTTTGGAACACGGCACCCTCTAATGTTGGAGTGACAACAATTAAGGTTTAGCACAATATATCTATTTCAAGTCGCATACCTGACGTAATACTAATAATAATACATTGAGAGTCCCATGCTTCAAGAAAATAACTCCCATCGAACCAATATACAGCAAGGCCATCTACAGTATTTTCGTGAAGATGCCTTGAAACCGCTTTTTGAAAAAATAACCCCAGGAGTCTAGAGAGTCTGTGTCCATTCGAATAACTAATAGAGTGTGATATTTGTCGTTGGCAGTAGCGATTCTCTGTAGGATTTCAATGTTGATGCTGCTTTCCAGATAAACGAAACCAGAAACGAAAAGTATAAATGTAAACAGTGATGTAATTACGGATGCGCAAATGCGCCGCCTATTTGTCCTAAAGGCCGACTCGCTTTGGTTTCGTACAAAACTTGGAAAATGCCGATCAACGTATCTTTTGTTGAGGGCGATGAATCGATACGCCAGCAGTTCTAAGCTCTTAAAAAAAGGATTTCGCCTACGGTCTGTGTTGAATTTACTAGTTCTAAGCCACACGTTGGCGGTAGGCTTTAGTCTTTCGCACAAAACCCTCTATAAAACCTTATGAACGATGCTTGGCGCGCTGACCCTTTTGTAGTAGGCATTATGGCGAGATCGCACTTCTTTTGGGTTATCCGAAGCACGTTTGAATTTCAATCGGGAGGCGTGCTTTCGTCACACCATATTTTGCATGGAAGTTGGAGCATGTAAGTACTTCGCTTGCTCTTCGCCGCTATATTTGAATAGCTTAATTCAATTCAATTTATTGAGGATATACATATTAGTACAATAAGATACAAGGTTAGCTTAGCTGTATTATTTTTCCTATTGTCTTTCTAATCTGCTCAAAGCCAAACTCCAAACTCCAACTATCTAATTAAAAAACAAATTATCTCTTCAGCATCTTTTTATTTGACACTTAATGATTCGCACACGTCATTTAGTTCCTTAATGGTCATCGGATTCACTCGACGAAGAATGTGACGAAGATGATGATGACGACGACGAGGACGAAGATTGTGATGAGCTGCTTCGTGACCCACTATCGGGTGCCGCGGCCCGTCTTCTTGCGTTGTTCATCACTCAGAGACTCCCCCGAATAAATCAAATCTGATTCATTGGAATAATCTGATTCAGCACTCATCGAGTTACCTGCACCCAATGCTTGTGAATCGATTTCACGCTTACGTCTACCACCTGCAGGCATCTTCATAACTTCACCATAACCGACTGCCACAGCATCGTTTACCTTAGAACTCATAAATTGTATTTGCTCACCGGCTGTCGCTACACCATTTTCCACCATCTCCTTCATTTGATTGGCCATCGTAAGAGCCGTCTTTTGAAAGTCCTTTAAGAGACAGAAACTGTTAAGTCGTATTTGATATTAATTGGTTGTGACAAAAGTCACATTTACCTGTGGTGCTGGCGCCGCGTGCGTTCCTACCCAGCAAACTGTTACGCTGAGCAATACTTGTATGAGCATGTTTATTTGCATTTTCTGTCCGTTCGTTTTGATTTGATTATTGCAACTGCGAATAATTTATTAATTTATATTCACATGTTGGGGACTTTCATTCGATCGGGGGATTTTTCAAATTGGGTAATTATGTGTGTATGTGCGGTGAATTTTGCCAGCTGCACGCAAATTGATAGGATCTCTTTGATAATTACGCAGGGAATTGGTAGTACAACACAAATGAATAAGTAATGTATAATATTTAATTATATTGCTTACATGTGTATTTCCTCAAGTTATCTAAGTACCATACACATAGTATACGTGTACATTAGAGTGGTCCAAAAAAAAAATTTTCCGCGATAGGGTTTGGGGCACCTTCCAAAACTTTGACTCTTGCCGAAAGAGGTGCTGGTACGTAAGTTTACGGTAACGTTTCTAGGTATAAATTTAGAGGATTCTCATGATGCTCATATTTTACTCTAGAAGTATTGTGTGCATATATCAATTGGTTGAGTAACCTAAGATATTTCAAATTTAAATAATCTAAAAAAATATCACAAGCTTCATTTGTCATGGCAACAGTCGGTTTTATTAAAATCACCAATATTTTTGCCAGCTTCCTGGCTATCCAGTAGTCCATTTCAAGGTCATTGAGCACCCTGTATTGGTTGCAGTAGCAAACTGATAGTTGGTATAGATGTTAAAAATATCAACAGGAAAAAACTAGGGGGTGTTTTCTAGGATGAAATAGTTTTCCCCATAGAAAAATTGGACCACTCTAATGTACTAACAGTGTGTAAGAGAAATGCTAGGACCCCAGCGAAATGGTGTCCAAACATAAGTATCGATTAAATAAGGGTCGAAAATAGTCACAATGGCTCTGAATTAAATACTAAGTTTAGGAATAAGATTTACATAAGTCGATTACGATTCATACAAGGATGAAGGTAAAGTTCGGTGTGTAAAAGAAGAAAGGGAAAAAGATATAGATTGAAAGTAAAAAAAAAAAAA